ATTTCGCTCTCCCAGCGCCAATACTGCCAGGATTTACTGGAAAGGTTTGGCATGGCTGACTGCAAGCCACTATCTACACCCATGGTGTTAAGATATCCCAATACTCAGCACTCTATGTGCACAGAGTCAGTAACTAAATTGTTGTCTATGTAGTTTTACACACCTATGTGCAAAGAGTCAGTAACTAAAGAACAAGATACTCTGTGCACAGTAAAAATGTGAACACTGAACAAACAAAGAACAACTGAAGAAAATAAGTGAACACATCATTAATATGGAAGGTGGGGAACCTGGCAATTAGTCTGAGGTGCACAGGCACTAATAGCAACACATGGAGCCAAATCTTCGCCTCTCTCACTCCCAGTCTCCCCAGGATGCCTCAGAAATCGAGAAAATGCGCCATGTACCCTATCTCTCTGCTGTACGTGCTCTGATGTACCTTGCCACCACTACCCGCCCAGACATTGCCTATACTGTCGGAGTTCTGGCCAGATTCAACTCCAATCCTGGCTGGGTTCATTGGCAGGCTGTGAAGCACCTAATGCGCTATATCAAGGGTACTCTGGACTATTCCCTGACCTATTCTCCTGATCCTTCAACCTCTGAGCCCTTCACCACCTTCTCTGATGCAGATCATGGTGGCTGCAAGGATACTGGTCGCTCTACAGGTGGATATGTTGTCAAGATGGGTACTGGTGCAATCTCCTGGTGTTCCAAGCTTCAAAACATCGTTGCTCTATCTACCACTGAGGCAGAATACATAGCAGCTGTCCAGGCAGGCAAGGAGATCAAGTGGCTTCGAAATTTACTCTCTGAAATCGCTTCTCCACTCTCTTCTCCCTCTGTGCTGCACATGGACAACCAATCTGCAATCTCTGTGGCCAAGAATCCTGAACACCATGGCAGAATGAAGCAACTTGATCTCTGCTTCTACTGGCTTAGAGATGCAGTCCAGGACAACCTCATTGCTCCCACTTTTGTCCCCACTGATGCCCAGGCTGCTGACCTGATGACCAAACCACTGTCCAAGGCCAAGGTGATCAACTTCTGTCAGATGCTAGGACTAGGTGCATCAAGTGGGAGTTCTTAATGTGCAGAGGTGCACAATCAGGGGGGAGTGTTGTTGTTAGTGACTGTGCACCTCAGACTAATTGCCAGGTACCCCACCTTCCATATTAATGATGTGTGCACTCATTCTCTTCAGTTGTTCTTTGTTTGTTCAGTGTTCGCATTTTTACTGTGCACAGAGTATCTTGTTCTTTAGTTACTGACTCTGTGCACATAGGTGTGTAAAACTACATAGACAACAATTTAGTTACTGACTCTGTGCACATAGAGTGCTGAGTATTGGGATATCTTAACAGAATCTGAGTCTCCTACCTGCCAGGACATCCAGACACAAACACCATGACAAGCATCAACTGTACCACTGCCCCAGCATGCACAAACTCCATATTTGGATGCTATCAAGAAGATCAAATGCACCTGAGCAGCTTCATGAAGAACCTGCCTCATCAGCATGTCTCATGAGGTAAGTAAGGAAATATATGACTTGATATGAATATCTCACAACCAATAGCCTATTGACAATGAAGAGTTCCAATCTACTGCTTCAGAACCTGAGGTATCACAAGCAAACAACAGTGATCCTGTATCAATGGTGGAGGCAATTGCCAAGGGGGTTGAAGCTGTGCTTTGGAAAGTACTTGGTGATGGTGCTATCACAATGCCATGAACAGGGTGGTGTGAATCAAAGTGTGGTTCAGTGGTGGAAACCAACCAAAACCAACACAAAAGACAATAAGAGTGAGTGGTGGTATGCCTATGCAGTACCTAGATGGTAGAACCTGTTATCTGGGTGGGTTTTTGCAAGCTACAACACTCAAAGACGAGTGCTGAGGGTTGGGGGTGCTCCTGATGAAGAGGGAGCAAGAATGCGATAGAATGTGATGGGGTAGACTGCTGTCAGCCTACAGAAGGATGGATAATGACATAATTCAATGTCCTAAGCTGCACTGAGCTCAGGGAGGGCTTGGAGCAAAGTATATTGATGATAGTTAGACCCTTAATAAAGTCTCAACTATTGAAGCTGCTGAATGATTTACTGAGTGATGATAAAATGCGAGGAAGAGGGGCTCTCTGACATCTTTTTTCAGCTATCTAAGTACAGTGATTTATATACAGTACAGGGGTGTTGCCTATGGAAAACAAGGTGTAAACACTTGGTAAGTGATTGGTAACTGATGAGTAAGGAATGTAAGCAGTGGGTAATCATCTTAGAAAGCATTGGTGAGCATTGGTAAGGTTAAGTAAGCCAAAAAGCAAAGAATCAGTAAGCAAAGTCAAAAGATTGGTAAGTATTGGCAATAGGTGAGTCAAAGACAGTCAGGATGTCAAAGTATGAGTCAAGTGTTGTTGTTAGTGCCTGTGCACCTCAGACTTATTTCCCAGGTTCCTCACCTTCCATATTAATGATGTGTTCACTTATTTCCCTCAGTTGTTCTTTGTTCGTTCATTGTTTGCATTTTCACAGTGCACAGAGTCTCTTGTTCTTTAGTTACTGACTCTGTGCACATAGTGCTGAGTATTGGGATATCTTAACATCAAGTAATGTCAGAAACTGGGAAAGTGCACTGGAATTGCATTAGGGGAAGGCTGTGCATGTCACATCTCAAAGAGATCACTTCTGGGCCAAAGTGGGATGACAGAGGGGCAGCACTGATCTGATACTGATATAGTACATCCAAAAGTGGACATGGTGAGTCAGTTGTCAACAGGGGTCAAGCTTTGGGGGTCTGTGGGGTGACAGGAGCATAAGGGATCACAACTTTCCCCCCCTAACTGTCCTCTCAGTGAAGCAAATAAAAACTTCATGAATGAGGCTCTGTTGGAAAAGAGGACAAAGGGGGAGTGTCTTCTGTTGTATCTTGGAACAAGGAGGCAAGATGTGCATCATACTTGTCATGGATGTGATCAGGGAGAGTAGAGAACAGTAGGCAATGGAGAACACTGGCCTGTAATGAAGTCCAATGATCACATGTTGGAAATCCTATGTGAATGCTACAAATGTCTATGCACAACATGGCAGAAAGCTCAGCCATGTATTACAGCAAAGGGCACAGTAGAAACTTCTGCTGAGATTGAAGAACACTTGTGGAACAAACCTGGGTACTCAAAGAGGGCAGACAGACCACATGATGATGAAATTTAGGGCATTAATTTTGCTGTTTCATACCAGTAACTCAACCTGTTTTAGAAATATCAGTGTTGATGTGCCATTCATGAACATATGGTTGCTCTCAAGAAAGACTCCACAAATGGCGAAGGTGATCTCCATGCTTGGCAATGGCTCCTGCAGCTGATCCACACACTGGGCAAGCATGGGATGAGTTCTGAGGACAGTGACATTGACAATAATGTCATGACTATCCTCCAAGTTAAGAATCTGGCATGGTGATGCAGTGTTGAATGGGAACTTGATATTATTGACCTGCAGAGACTTGTTGACAATGATGTTTTTGCACCCCAAGGCTCAAAGCCTATCCAGAGGTCTCATGCACCTGGAACCCCCCAAAGTTTGCACACTCCAGTCCTGGGCTTACCACAGTCTATCTATGATTCCATTTGGCTTGCTGGGCTTACTCACCATGAATGAGACTGCCTGAAAGTATCAGAGGAACTGTTTCCATGGATGGAGATAGCCATTGCCTGATACTAGATACCCAATGTAGTGTATGTACATATGTATAGATACTAAGAACATCTACATGAAAATGGATGATCACACTGGGCAATTGTTGTGCAACCACAGGGCAATCATTGGGCAATGAACAGGTGACTGTCAGGTGATTAGTATGGGCCATGGCAAAACTTCAAGTGCAGGCATGTGTAGAAACACTTTCAGTATGCAAGGACTGGACCAAGGAACCAGGGACTGGTGTGCAGGGACCGAGTGGGGTTGTGCTGAGGGCACTGGAGAGGTAATGGACAGGGGTTTGGAAAAGAGTAGGTCACTAATGAGGTCCCTTATCCCCCTCTTAGGGTAGACTTCCCAAGTCTACAGGGGTACAAGGTGTGGGCCAGGACCACTGAGAGGAGTACTGGATGGGATAGTAGGAGCACTACCACCAGAGCTGTAAATCTGAGTACTGAAAATGCAGAGACCAGCTAAACAGGTGTCAAGACCAGATCTGGGAAGCTTTTACAATGCTGGGAAAAGCTTTAAAAACTGGAGGCACAAGGCCAGCAGGGCAGGCCAGACTGGTACAGGGATAGTAAGGAGTGTCAGAGTCAAAAGTAAGGGTATGAAGGCCAGACCAGAGCTCAAGAGGAAGCAAGGCCAGTGAAGGCTGGCAGACCAAAGACAACCAGTAAGACTGGAGTCAGGAGAGTGGGTAGGACCATAGTTCCAGAGTCAATGGTGGGGCAACAATAGTGATGGTTAGGGGGAAGGTAAGGGGTTAGCTGGTATCTGAAGGGGCCTCACAAACATACAAGTTCTGGGGGCAAGTGGGTGAACTGGGAAACAGACTGGCAAAGTCAGGGTTTTGTCAGATGGGCTGATGCCCAGGGTTGTCTTGCAAGCAAATTCATGCTCCAAGGCAGGATTGACATCAGGGGGGTTAGCAAACTTTAGCATTAGGCAGGGATAGGTGACTGCACTGCACTTGGCCACCAACAGGTGCCTAATGAGTGGGCTAGTTGGTTCCCTACAACCTGGGTACTTCAGTTCCTAACAGGTTGACAAGGCCAGTTAAAACAGGGGGTCAGAGACTGAGAGAGAACCAAGGCTGGGTCCACCAAGGACCAGAAAGAGGTGCTAGGTCAAGACTATAGCACTAGGGTAGAGAACAGGGGTAGTTCTGGGAGGAGGGAGAGGCCTGAAGGCTAAAACGAGTGACAGGGGAGTAGCATAGATACCTGAGGGGTATCAGAGGCTAAGGAGATGGGAGACTGGTCAAAAGAAGTGAGTCCAGAGTGAGCAAGACTAGTCAGAGGTCATGAGGAAGTCCAGCAATGAAACACTTGAAAAGAGAAAGAAGGCCAGAGTCAGAAAGACCAGTCAGGGGCTATATGGAAGTCCAGAGATGACAGGCCAGACAAAGGCTGACAAGGCCTAGTGAGGGAAGGAAGACTGGAACTCAGGAGACAAGTCATAAGGGAGTCCAGAGGTGGAAAAAAACTGGACACAAGTAGGGGGAGGACTGAAGTTTGCAAGTCTGGTCCAGGGCTGCAAAGCCAGGTTGAGGCCAAGGGACTGGCAGGACAAGCCAGGATTGCTAAGGGACCAGAGTGATGCACTAGTTGATTTGTCTCTTACTGAGACCACCAGTTTGGCTTCTGGTGTACCAGAGTACCAACTTGTTGACCCAGTTAGGATCCTGGGGTTGACTCTAACTGTTTTGTCTCAACCAAGACCACCAGTTTTGGCTTTTGGAGTACAGAGCTACCAACTTGTTAACCTGGTTAGGATCCCAGGATGGACAGAGGACAGGGAAGGGACTGGAAATGAGGTTGGGGACCAGGATAGGGGCCATAGACTGGTCCTAGACCAAAAATCAGGGACCAGGAGCAAGTCCAAAGGACTAGCATGCCCAGGGGGTGCCTCCAAGTTGAAAGGGAGGCCAGAAGAGAGGTCAGGGACCATGCGAAGGGCCAGAGGGCTGGCAGACCAGCCCTAGACTGAAATGGGGGTGTCATGCACTAGCTAAGACCACCAGAGCCAAGACCTGGTGCAAGTCCAAAGGACAAGCACCATCCCAAGGCTGAGGTGACTAGTGCAGGACAAGGACAAGGGACAGGGGACCTGGGAGGGGTTTGTGAGGAACAGGAGGGTCTGAGGAAAGCCAGGATCAGTTCAAGACCTAGTAACAGGTCCAGACAAGTCTGGGTGAGGTGGCTGAATCAGACTGGGGCCAGGAGGGCCAGTAATGAAGGGCAGGAGGCTGAGAGAAGTGGAAAACTGGCTTCAGACAAGTCCAGGTGAGTGTGGACAGGCCAGTGACAGGCAGTCTGGAGACCGGAAAGGGGGTCCAGGGCTCCAAGGCCAGTGTAGCAAAGGCCAAGGGTGGAGACCAGACCCAAAACCACTGAAGCTGAGTGCCAGTGGGGAACAGGGAAGGTGTTGAGGACTGGGACTGGCTAAGTCCAGGCCTGGGGGCTGCACCAGAGGTGTGCAGAGGTCTGAAGGCCAATATTGGGGGTTCAGGAGGTCAAATGAGTGATGAGATCCCAGTGTTCAGTATGGTAGAACCAAACCAAGACAGCTGGGCTAGAGTGCTGGGATGACTGAGGTAAGGACTGAGATGAAGACCAAGGTGACCAGCCAGAGGTCAGAGGTAGCTCAGGGGGGCTAACAGAAGTGAGTCCAGTTGTTGAGGCCAGCTCAGGGGCAAGTCCAGAGGGTAATTCCGACTTGGAAGTGGGCTCAGGTGTGAACCCAGGTTGGTGGTGAGTCCAGATGGTGAGTCTGACTCAGGGGTTGACATGGCTGGTCCAGAAGTCAGGAAGAAATGAGTGGCAGGCAGGGATCAGGAATGAGGGAATGGATGCATTAAGTTTCAACCACTAGGAACATAGTGCCAGGAGTAATGCAACCCAGGGTGTGCAGAGTGCTGAGGGTCACTGGTTACCTCTCTGCTTTAGCAGAGATCTCCAGGTTGGGCTCTGGAGTCAGATGAGAGGTAGCCCAATGGGTCCTAATGGGCAAGGTCATGGGGTAGGGGCTCTAGAGCAGGACCTAGACATGATGCAATGGCTTGCACAAGTGTGAGTCAGAATACACTGTCAAGTACAGGTTTACCCTCAGGTGACCAGGCTTCAAGACTGGGTGACAGGGGCTAAGTCTGGGTGACCAAAGTTGAGGCTGGGAGACAGGGGCCAAGTCTGGTTGGACCAGAGTTAAGGCCAGAGGTCAGGGGCTAAGTCTGGAGGACCAGACTCAAGGCTGAGAGCATGGGAACAAAACTGGTAGCATGGGAAACTGACCAGTCTTGGAGTGTGCACAGGGGGAAGCCAGTCCAGGGTTGGATCTATCTCCCTTGGTCTCAGCTTATGTGCTGTACCCTTATGCAAGCTGGGGAGAGTTCCAGGACAGGGGCCAGGGATAGCTTAAGGCTTGGCCTTAGCTATATAGTAGATTCAGGGTGCAGTATGGAGTTGAGGGTGATACTAAATTGATATTCTGAATGAGGTGCTACAAAGTATGTACAGGGGTTAAATACATGAGGCCAGTCTGGGGTAATGAACATAAAGCCAGACTTGTTAGTAAGCTATTAGTGAGATTATTAGCAAGGTGAGGACAGCCACAGTGCCTGTGCCAATGCTAATAGCCAAATTCTTGGTGACTGGCATAACCAGAGTCAGACATAGGATTTGTACAGTAAGCAGAGTCAGATGAACCAAACTAAATATAGTACAAACAAAGGAAAACAGACTGGAGTTATGTCCAGGTCACCTGGACATGGACCTGGGAGGACCAGGGTGGAGCAGTGCAAGGCCAGGAGGCCAGAGTGGACCAGAGATAAGGGTAAAACACTGGACTTGAGTTATTCAGGCTGGAGTTGGGTTATCTAGGGCCAGAGTTAGGTTCTCTAGGCCAGACCAGGACCAGATTTGACTGGAGTTAGGGGATAGGGGTCTGGACTGGGCTGGGATTGAGTCCAAGAGTCATGGATATGACAATGCAGTAATCCATGCAAGAATTTCCTCCAGAATGAGTAATCATCTGGAGGTTGCACTATTCAGTGTGCACAATGTTTTAGGTCATTGTAGAATGCAAGAGCTCCTTTCTCATGTTCATCTCTAGTGTGGTCAAATTGATCAGCTGTGTTCTGTGCAGATGCTTTGTGGATGAATCATTTGAAAAGTCCACAGATCAGGTCCTCAAATGACCAGTTGTCATAGTCATGCCAAGCTTGACCCCAGCCAGACTCGGTCTTGCACTCAGTCTGGCCTTGGCCTTGCCAATCCCTTATCCCCAGATAGTCTAGCACAGTAAACACTGCTTTGCAGTGTGTGTCACTTCAGTTAATCCCTGCCCAGTCTTGTCCCCAGTCTGCCCTGTCCTGGTCTCTGTTACCTTAGTCATACCTTACTAATACTTGTCTTACCAAGCATCTTAGCAATCCTTGTGAGACTGGCATTACCAGTCTCTGCACTATAGCTACTTCTAGTATATAAAGTCTTAGATACTCAGCCTGTACTTCCTCAGTCTGAAATCAACTAAGTTACTCTGATAACCCTGCCTCAGCCTTGGGCTCAGACTGAGACCCACACAAGGGAATAGTGCTGTAACCTCAGTCACTAAGTCCAATCAGTCCATCCCTCTGTACCTTTGCCTTTCCTCCTGACTCCAGCCCCTCAGCCTCATGCCCACTTTGGTCTCCAGTCCAGACTCAACCCAGACATCCTGAACTTGACAGTATTTCAGACTCACTACTTGTGTGGGTCTAATACATCATGGCAACAAAGACTCATTTCCAACCTCCCCATGGCCACTCTGCCACCAACCCTGACTCTGCCTCAGCCAGTGGGATTCACTGTGAAACAGCACTAGCTGCCTTGGGCACCACTAGGTGATCCCCAAACCCTGTTAGTCCTTTCAGGGGCTTTTCAGCCTGAACATCCAACACTCCTACCCCACATCACCCCATTGCCCCCATCCCTGGTGATGATCTTGGGGATGAAGGGCCAGACAACAATGATAACAACAACCCTGACAATGATGACCCTGGCAACAGTCCTGGTGATGATGGGCCCAGTGATGATAATCTGGATGAGAATGATCCAGAGGATGAACCAGACTTCCCAGACCCAGACACTGAACCCACAATTGCAGTCTTTGACAGTCTCACAAAGGCCATCAAGCTACTGGCCCACAACACCCACACTGGTCCTGAGTCCTCAAGTAGGACCAAGTTGCACAAGCCCAATACCTTTGATGGTACTGACCCCAAGAAGCTTCACACCTTCTTTATCCAGTGCAAGCTTAATTTCCAAGACAGACCCCAGGCTTTTAGGACTGACCATGCCAAAGTCATCTTTGCCCAGTCCTACCTCAAAGGCGTGGCTCTTGAATGGTTCAAGCTGGACTTGCTTGGGGTTTGTTATGCCTGAGCACAGTGACTTCTTCAAATGGAATAGGCATGAAGTGTGTGAGGGGGAGTCTACAGGCCAAACATGTCATAACTCCTATGGCTCAGTTATCTCTGAGGTCTGACAGAGGTTCTGTCTACTGGTGATCCATTGAGGTAGTCGCATGGAGAGAGAACAAGGATGAAAGAGAAGGAAGTTAGCTGAGTTGCAAGCTATTGAAAAACTGAGGATACAAGGTAGAGTACAGGGGATTATATACCTCTAAGTATGAGTACTGTACCAGTTGTGACAGGATGTGTATCTGCAGCAATCAACAATACAATCAGTCAAATAAATAGGAGTCATATGGTGTCAGAGATGGGGGTAGTCAAGGAAGCAAAGGCTATACCAGCTGCACAATCAATGTGCAGCAAGGAGCCAGACACCAGATCTATAGTACAACATCCAAGCAATATATGTGAGTCAGAGATGAGTCATCAGAGCAAGAAAGAAACAAGTTGTCCATCAGAGAGGGTGGTGGAAACACCAGATCACAAGGCTGTGGTGTTGACAGGTATTGGAAACACCTTGACAGTGGGAGATCTGAGGGAACCCTGGAGCATGTGTACCCCTAGGACAGCAATGATCATGAGGGACACAATGAGGCATGTGATGCATGTGACTGCAAGGGATTGAAAAAGGAAAGACCCCTGATGAAGGCATAACATCACCCCCCCTCTAAGGTCCTCAGACCCTTGAGGACAGGCCAGGTGCATTAGTGGGACGGGAGGAAAGGGGTCAGTGAGCAGTATAGATGCAGGAACATGTGCAAGTGGCAACAGGTGATGGTGGCGATGGAGATGACAGTTCCTTGAGGGCCAGAGTAAAGCAGGAGCCATGTCCGTTGTGGCACAACCAATGTCCCAGGTAACAACATTGGTAGCAGGCATGCTGGTAGAGGACATGGTTGGTGGGGACAGGAGACTGGCCTCCAAGGTAAGAGCAAAGTTGATCCACAGGGACAGGGACAAAGGGAGTTGCAGGGAGAGGATTGGTGGTGTGGATGGCATTGTGATAGTATTTGTGGATTCTGGCCCACGACACATCCTGCAAAAGCACCTCCCAAGCAGAGTTATGAGTCCCTGTACCAAGGTGGGCACCAACCTCCTTAAAAAGATCTCCAGAACCGACATAAGACAGTTCCAACACTTTCCACTGATCTTCCTTTTTGCATTCTGTCTTCCTTGCTTCTTCTTCTTCATGAGAAGCTGATGGTTCCTCTTGCTTCAGGCAAATGTGATCAAGAAGATGAGAAGCAGGGGGTGCGAGGAACTCACCGATCTGTTGATGGAGAAGGTGATGATAGGCACCACCAGTGACAGCTTCTAAAAGCCCTGAGGATGACCATTCCAGCATATTGACCATTATTACTTCCAATAGGGGTGCCATTCCAGACAACTTTCAGGTGTGGATCTTGGAGACAGCAGAGTTGATTATGTCTGTCACTCTGTAGATTTCAGACAGCAACCCAAAATATTTAACTTGTTCTGGTGAGCACCCATCAATGTGGTCCCCATCATTGAAGACATCAAGCACCCTAACAACGTCCAGGTAGTCAGCTGCTGTGATTGGTAGTTGCTGCTTGTCATCCCTGGCAAGGGTGGCAGAGGCGAGCAGGTCAAGCACAACACGTTGACTTCCACTGGAGTAGGTTGTGAAGGTGGGGTGGAGGTGGGGAGGTTCAGGAGCATGGGGTTTATGGGTTTTGGCTGTTCCACTATCAGTGTCATCGTCAACTCTTGCCTTACCCTTTCCCTTGCCCTGCTGGTTACTGTCTCCCTTGAAGGAGACTCTGGCCTTGGGGATGGGGACCCTCCTGACCAAGAGGCCCATGAGTGGACACAGTCTGAGAGGGTGGGCAATAGGGGGCGATGTCGGATGAGGTTATGAGACTGGGGACAAGGGGACCAAGCCAGAAAGGCCCGCGGCAGTCGTTGGGGGTGAGGCTGGGGCATAGACAGTGATGGGGGGTATGAAGACTGGGTCAGGGTCATAAAAGGATTTGCTGGCAATGGGGAGGTCAGCATAGTTGTTTTCTGTGTTTATGGAGCAAGGGGAGTCCATTTAGTTTCGAAGGTGACAGGCGAGTTTGTACTGAGCGCGATGCATGGTCCTTTATATGTTCCTTGGGCTCCCAAGTATTTGACAAATGCAAGAACCCTTTCCATTTGACCAAATACCATCATTTACCTCTTTGCCCATCCACCTTGTGATTGATGATGGACTCCACTTCCCATTCGATCTCATTGTCAACGAGTTCTGGCAGTGGCACACCTGGGGATCTCCCATAGGTATCATTTTCCTGATAAGGGTAGATTCATGAAGTGTGGAACACAGGATGAACCTTCCAGGTAGTGGGAAGGTCCAATCGAAATGCGACTGGGGACACAACCTGAGTCACCTTGAATGGCCTGAGACATCAGGGCACAATCTTGTCACATTGGTTTTTGATACAAAGATGCCCGGTATCCAGGAGGACTTGATATCCTACCTTGGGCACAACATAAGAACCTTTTGAGTGTGAGCACATCAGGTCCTGTGCTTTCTTGTGAGCAAGAATGGCAACATCTTGGTTCAATGCCAGCCTTTCCAATCTTTCACCAACCAAGGGGACAGTGGTCAGCCAAACCTCTGGGT